CCCAAAAAAAATGTACACAAGATTTTAAATATCACCAAAAATCGCTTTTCATTCCTACGCTCGGCCGAGCCGGGGACGACGACGAGGGGGGTGCGCGTGTGTGTGACACCTCGCTCACAGCACCAGCGGCTCACAGAGAGCGGGGGAGATGCGGCATTTGTCAAAATTTGGGATGAATTTCTCGTTAACGGCGCAGAACATGCCTTTCCACGACCGACGGGGAAGGAGGAGGGATGGCCCCGGCCGCTCGGCGCTTTTGGGGACATTTAGGGGGATTTTGGGACCAGTTGAGGATAGAGACTACGTAAACGTTGGGAAAACCGCCCCTCGAGGGATGCTCCGCTCAAGAAGGATGATGTCAACCCAACGCCGAGCCACCGTCCATCCCTTTTCAGACTTTTTTTTTTTTCGTTCCCCCTCCCCGAGGTGGATGATGAGACACATGCAGAGGGGAGGAGGGAATCGACGCCGAAGCCCCGACCGCCTTCCTCGCGGCAAAGAAATACTATTTCATAGGTCACCCTAGGTGCTCCTGAGGTTTTTGGGGGTAAAAATGGCATTTTGCTTTCTTTTAGGATAAATCAAAGAGGTTTGGGATTGGAGCGGGAGAGGCTGGATTTAACGAGGGATTTATTTACAGAGGTGGAAACGCCGCAGAAGAAGCAAAACCCTCCCCATCCCCACGCGGCTGGGATGCGATTTAAGGCTCCGACCGGCAAAAAAGCTCAGTGGGGACAGAGGGGAGAAAAAAAACCCGACGAAAAAAAAAAAAAAAAAAGAGGGGAAAAGGGGCCACATCATGGCACTGCCGGTTTGGGGAGGGTGCTGGAGGTTGTTAACCAAAACCTGGAGGAATCCACCCGTATTTCCCACCCCTCCCATCAGCTGGAGGGGAAAAGGGAGGTTGTCCCAGAAGGACACACGGGTTCAATCCCTTCGGATTTTGTTTGAATCTTTGCAGAAGGAGGCACGGGAGCAGTTACTGCCATCGAGGCTGTTCACCCCCTCAAATTTACCAATATTCAGCCTTTTGGCTGGCAAAAAAGCCTGTTTCCCAAGCTACG